AATCCGACTCCCTAGGCGCTCATATCCAACGTCAGCTGGGATTCGATTTGTGGTTTGTCATGCTAGGATTCTTCTTCGTTGCCGTCGCCGAGGGGAAACGTCTGCAGGAAAATCGAACGGACATTGCGTTCTCGCTCTTCCCGATCCTGTTTGAGATTGTGTCTGCATACGGTACTGTGGGATTATCCATGGGATACCCTGGTACGGAGACGAGTCTGTGTCGGGAATTCAATGGCTTGTCCAAAGTCATTGTCATTGCGATGCAGGTGCGTGGCCGCCATCGTGGTCTACCACATGCGCTTGATCATGCGATACTGTTGCCATGTGATTTGGTGGAGCCCGACGAGCAGGGACGGAGGCCAGAGTGGTGGTGGAAACGGTGGATCAGGAAGAAGAGCTCCGACCTGGGGAACTTGTTTACGCATGATTGACAGTTATCCAGCATGTATGAGCATAACTGCCTCCTGGCATATATCCACTTCCATTGTAGTGCAAGTATGAACTGCAAGAATGCATTGCATGTCATAACATAAGCCTTCCCTGCATAATCGTTATCGATCGGACTGAACATATCTCCACAATATAACTAATACTAACACGGCTGATATTGCCATCTTCCTCGGCAGCACCGGGGATCTAAGCCCCAACTCCGCAGGGTGGCAAGAGCCCACCTTATTAGCGAAACCCATACATGTGAGGCATTAAATGTAATGTGAATTACTGTCCCTTAAGCATAATACATTAAACTATTCACAGTTGATTATGCACACATACACACATGCATCCAATGAATTACTCTTATGTAACCTGGACCCTTAATCACATCGCCACCTATCAACCCACCCACCCACACAATCCCGACTGTCAAGCACAAGTCCCTTAAACACCACCAACAACATCAAATAAGATGCATAGGGTGTACTACTATCGACGATAATCGCACATTATCCCCCCTATCTACGGAGTAGGTATCTAGCCCACCACGCGAAAACCGGAACCAAAACGAAAAGAAAGAAAGAAAGAATGAATGAATGAATGGGAATGACTCATCCAGTATCAAGCCTCAAGCCTCAATCATCACTCATCACGAGATCGCTAATCAATCACAATATCACTCAATCAGCAAGTGAAATCCATACCCAAATCCCAAAGCCCACCCTCGGCCCGAGAGATCAACTCCGTAAAAAAGTCATCTCTACTAATCAAAAATGCCCAGATCCCGGGATTATAAAACCCAAGTGAAAAATAAAACCGGCAGAAAAAAAAAATAGGAAAAGAATTAGGTAAAAATCCCGACTACAAGGCTGAAGAAAAAGATTTAATTAATTCCGAGTATCCGAGTGATTCATTCTTCACATGGTGATTTCTGATTGATTAGTGGATATTAGGGGTGGTTTTGAACCATGGGTCAGATCACGGGGTTGGTGGTTTTGGGTTTCCGGTTCCGGCGTATCCTTTGCTGCTGCTGTTGCGTGTCGGTCGGAGGTTGGGAGTGCGAATCGCCGATATCCCGTTCTTCTGACTCCCCCTTCCTTGTCGGCGACGGGTAAGTGGGTTGGTTGTGCTGGGTAGATAGGGATTAGGAATTACGGGGATGGAGTTGGGTTATGTCCGATATACTTTAGTTACTATTATTCCAGTTATGGGGTAAGTAGGTGAGTAGGTTTGCAGTGGTGTGTATTACCATGGATGTAGAGGGGGAGTGAGTGATTATTAATGCTTCTGTCAGTTTTGTCAGAAGTTAAGGTTGTGGTTAATATAGTTTCAAATCAAGATAGTGTTTCGAAAATGGGGACCCCGTAGGGATACGAGGACCACTGCTGCTGCTGTTGTTATTCCTGGGGATGGTTAGGTGATGGATGATAAATCTGGGGGTGATTAGGTGAAGTGGTCGGGATATGAGGTCAACACTTTCTGCTTCGTAATGTTTGCTGGATTTGCAGGGATCTGATGTCGTGACGTCAATCAGGATCAATCCAGACCTGGCTCTCTCTATTCTATTGTGTGTTGATGATCGTCGAGAGATAGTATCTGGGCGTGAATAGGAAATGATATGTGTATGTTCTAGAATCCACAGTCGTGGCGGATCAGACCGTTTGTATTATCATCATGATGGTGGTGATGATGATGATGATGATGATGATGATGGAGATGTCCGTGTGGCCAGTATGAATGTCAAGATCATTGTTTGCAAGGCCAGGTTGATACGAGCGAGTCAAGCAATGATGTGGACTCCTGTCATTGGACTCCCCGTCTGCACAGTCCTTTGCTGGAGCGAGGGTGTGGCAGTAAACAAAGTTCCGGTGTTGCTATACAGGTAGGGACCAAGTATGGGCGCTGGCAGCCTGAAGCCATGACAGCGGTAGCGCCCTCCCGGACGCCCCGAGGCAGTGGTTACGGGTGTGAAGAAAACGAGTCCAGAGAGGTGGTTGATGTGGTTAACATTCATTGTCCTTCCCTGGGTTGAGTAAGCTTGACTGATTAACCTTCACGAGCAAGCCTCGAGCAGTTAACTAGTTCAACTGCAGACAGGCTGAATCAGGCACTTGGTAGGAGATCTCCGTCAGGTCCCATCCCTCGTATTTCTGTTTTAGGGGAGAGCTGAATGCCATGTCAGATTCTCTCTTTCTCTCTCCTCCCTTTTTAGCCCCACCGGCTGGATCCAGACGTGGTTTGAGGGAACACAGCGACATTCCTTGACACGCCGGGCGTTTTCATCATGGACGGGTTGCTGAAACTGGCTCGATCCAGACATTCATTCTGTACGAGGGAATTGCGATCGTCTCTTCTAAATATGTTTATAACTATTATTTGATTATTGAGGGGTGAGATCATTGTTCTCAGCTGTGTTCTCTTTGAGGAAACAGACTCGATCATCAACTGATAGTATCACATGACCCACTAGCCACGATAGTTGCTGACTAGTCTGCTGCTCCCCACAAAGTCCCCATCGAGGCTGTGTAGATACTAGTACTAGTATGTAGATAGATGTAAGGTTTCAGATAGACGACAGATTAACTGATAGCAAACCAAAACCAGCACGTTGATTATCTTCATGATAATCCAGCCCCCTCAACACGATTACGTACGATTTCCGCCCCCATACTTTCCCAACTAGCGAGACGACCTCGCGAAACACAGCCATCTCCAATACGTACTCAGCCAGCCAGGGGGTGATCATCAAGTACTGCGGAGGCGGAGGCAGGCAGGCAGGCAAGCAGGGCGTCGCCAAGAGCAGGACACGTTTGTCGCTAGCGGTCAACCCTCACAGATGGAATCAACACAAATAGCCCAACTCGGTAAGTTAGCTACCCAATTTTTGCGGTGGTGCCCTTGATCCTCCCTACGCGATCAGGGATACTTTGCCAAGCCTGGCTTGGACGTGCGGCTCTCCGCACAGGCAGACAAAGCGCACACGCCTATCATAAATTGATGGGCAGGCAGACTTCCCCGGACTTTACTACTAGTCGGCTTAGCAGGCAGATACAAATTGATTACTTGTACCTTGTAGGCACTAATCAATTAGAAGCGTGAAATGTGGCAGCCTGTGGGAACTTCATCGCCGCGTCCTGGCTGGCTTACGTGGGCTTTGCAAAGGTTGCCAGACAGAAAGAAAGGAAGCGAGATTATGCACGCGTACTCCATACCAGTACGCGATATCCAATCCATTCAGCGAATTCGGAGGTATCAAGGGAGTGAGCAAAAGCAGGCAAATGTAAGTAGGTAAGATAGGAAAGGAAGGAAGTAGGCATAACTCCGTGCCCGTCGTCGTATTCGCTTGGCTAGTTAACCTCCCCAAGGTACACGCGCCTCGGCCCTCGCGAATTATTGACCACCGCCCGGGTTTACTGCTTCCGTGCACAGGTCAATCAATCCCTTCCCCAATGTATTAGCATTAGCTAGTGCAGTGCACGCACTTGGGTCAATGTCAATGCTCTTGCCTGCCAAACGAATACGCTCGACGCCGTAAACTTTCTTGTTATCCCTCAGGTCACAATCAGAGTGCATGGTAATTGCTGATTATTATTCTGCGCAACCGGAATACGCGTCTACTTCCACGGTTGGTCACTTGGTATACATCTCGCTCAGGCACGTCGTTGTCCCCGAGGTGGGGATGTGACTGGTGTCGTCGACTAGACCCATTACAGTAGTGAGGCTGGCCAAGTTAGGGGACTCCTGGTTCTGCACCGTGAGCTTATGAATCGGGGATGCTGATTTCAAAGCGGACAGAAGTGTCATTACTACAGACTACATAGTGAGTAGGTATGACGAGCTGGCGCATTGACCCTAGGCGGCTCATTCAGAACCAGCTGGCCCCTTTGGTCCCGTGGAAATAGCAACCTTCACGGATGATGGGAGAAAGGGAGTAAGTACAGTTAGTAATCGGGGAGTCTGGCATGAGACGGAGCGAGCGATGACTGGGCATCTGCTGGAATTTTCTAGGCTTAGAAGCTCCCGTCAGCCGGAAATAACGGCGCGGAAAGATTGGTCATCCGACGCCCCGTCCAGGGTTTTTTTTTATTTTCATCCCAAATAATTTTATTTTTCTTTGCTGGGCTGGGCTGAGCGGTGATCGTCCACACGGAGTTAGCGGGCGGAGCCTGGCCGTGACTCATTTTTAGGAGTGATGATTGGGTCTCGCGAGGGGCGGTGAACTAACAGTTGCCTTTTCGAGCGAGGGAAATCGGCCCTGGTGGATCCGGCACCCTCCTTCCGATCCACGGATGGGCATCGATGGTTTCTGCCTCCGAAGGTCCGATTCCATATCCCTTCTAAACCCCGGTGCGTGAGAAAAAAAGGTAAAAAAATAAACTAAGGTTAATAATGGAGATAGGATTAGAAAAACGGAGAAAACACTGAGTAACGAAAAAAGAAATCAGCAGGAAAAAATTATCAGCCTAGAAAGTGGATATATCATATTAAATTGGTCCCTGTCTCCCGGTTGATCACTTTTTTCTTTCCCTACACAGGTTTACTCAAGTACATACACAGTACCTATTTCCTTCCTCCACATACATACTACATACACTCCCATCGCTTTAGGGTGACCACCTCAGACCGACTCTAGTACTGCTGTGCACCATCCTACATACGCACACAGGACATTACTCAAACCACATACCTCCAACACATCCGCTTTCCCCGCCACTACTGCTGCCTCATCCTGCCTGTTGTTGAACAGACAACCAGTGGAGACGCCTGAAGGAGCCAGGAACGGACGACGCATCGCTGGTCTGGTCGCGCCCATCCATTTTTTGCGCCGACATAGTGCAGGGAAACTATCTATTTTCCCATTTCCCATTTTTGACGCCGGAAACGAAAAAAAGCGGATCAAAGCGTAGTCGCGCCCCAAGATAAGGCGTCGTGATTTATTGATCCGCCTGCAGTCAACCTTGACTCACCGCCCCGCGATCTCTCCACCCGCTGATTGGCCCCCAGCCTGAGCGGCCGCCGGAAAAGGGAAGGCTGCCTGAGTCACCGCGCAGAGCGAACGAGTCACCTTTTGGCATTGAGCTCATAAGCACATCAACACGGTCCTCCCGGACACTTTTTTTTGGCACCATGGCCTCTCGCTCTTCTTCTACTTCTACTTCTACTTCTTCTACCTCTCCCTCCCCCCTTTCGACCTCCGCTTCCACCATCACTCCCAGTTCCTATTTCACCTCTCTCGTCCGGAGACGCCAACAAAAGAAAATGAGCATCACTCAAACATACTACCTCGCCCACACCGCCCGCAAGAAGCTTACCCGGGAAGCTTCGCGGGCAGACCATGACCTCCGCCTCCTCGTCGGCCATGCCAACCTTCTGGATTCCCTCATGCTGGAATTGGCCGATGCGGAAAGAGAACAAGAACGTTGGTTCAACCAAACCGTCAGCGGAGTAACCAAGACCTCCTCGCAAGGTTCAGAATCCCGACACATCCAATGGGCAGAAACCGTGGTCGAAGACCCCGAGGAGGACTGGGATCCCGAAGACCTCTCCGACGCCGACTCCGATGTCAGCGACTCCGACTCCGACTATGATGAAGAAGATGAATATGAAGATGAATCTCACATCTACACCCCCGTGCGTCGGCGGGCCCCATCACCTGTCGCCATCATCACCGAAAAGGAAGTGGAGGAGGATTACGATTCCGACTCGGACTCGGACTTTGAATACGATGACGCGGAGGATTTGGAGGAATTGACCTTGACCCGCTCACCCTCCCGACAAACCCCTCCCGACTTGCTGTCGGACTCGGATGGGGAATCAGAAGACGACACCATGCCCCCGTCGCCTCCCCAACCGACACTTGAAACATTCAACGAGAAGGAACCTCAAACCACAGAGATCCCCCTCTCCCCTACGGATCTCGACAATGGGTATTACGTCCCTGGCCAGGCACGCAGCACGATTATCGAGGCGTACTGATTGTGCCCTGCCAATTGACGACCACGTCAATGTACCATACGTGATACCCCCATTTATTGATGAATTGTTCTGGAACGGTTGATTTTGTTTTGGGCGAGTCGCCACTATCATAGCGGGTCCGGCGTTTTATTCTGCGACAAGATAAAAGGAATTCTTTGGTTGGGCATTCTGTTTTGGAGACTACTGTTTTGCATTGTTCGAGATCGCATCCCCATCTACTGTTTTTGCATGCCCGAGCGCTTGGGCAGTGATTCTCTACTCTTTGATATTTCCTTTCTTGGATCGATATGGTCCCCACAGTTAGGCCGCTGGGATAGACGGTCGAGAACATTATTTTTTTCGCTTGTCCTCTGCGGAGGCAAATATTAGATGAAACCCCATGATGAATGAATATCACATTACAAGAAAGACCAACCAAACCCCCCGTAATACTCCATAATAATACCAACCAGATAAAGTAGATAGAGAGATATGCTCATCATCAACAACACCTTCCCGATGAGATTTGATCTTCACCGTAGATTAAAGACCAGCCCACATGGCCGCCAATAGCCGATTGATAGATGGATGTTTAGTCCGTACCTAGTCTCCACTTTCTTGGATCCGCGACTACTAGTCAGTCAAGGTTAGGTAGGCCTCTCGCCTGAAATGAAGAAGAGATTGGGCGACGACTGTGATTGTGCAAGTCCGACACATCGCCGTCTCAACTCCGCTGGGCCAGAACCGGGATGGCAGTGCCGATCGCCCGCGCCATCCAATCCACTCCTCAGCTACACTTTTTCTCCCTCTGCTATGTATCTATCTCCATCCAGACCCCCGACTTGTCCACAGTCCACACAAGTGGACACTGGACAGGCTACTAGTCATTGAGCACACCGCCCCGTGATGCATCACATGGGCGATCGATCCCGCCCGGCGGATCATCACTGCCGATCCTGACTGACCTTCACAACTTTCATTTACTTGCTTGCTTGCTTGTTTGATGAGGGAAGGTTTCCGTGGTGTTCCTTGGAAAAAGTCTACTTTGTACTCTTATCCCGTCCATTCCTTGCCCGGAAGTTTCGGGTGACGGATGTCCATGGATATCCCATCACAAGAGGAAAGTCTGGGGCTTCTCCGATCATGTGAACTTTCTGGTAGACTCTTTGCCGTTCTCTCCGAAAATTTTTGCACTCATGGTTGAACTAGACTAGACCCTGAAGAAAAAAAGAAAAAGAAAATTAGAGTCGCCGTTGATGTGGGTCAGTCAGAATCAGACTATTTATTCATATTTTACTCTAGATAGGAGAATTTATTTCCCTCATGATGGGGCAAATGGTTAGTTTAATTCGCGTTGCGAGGGGGGATACAGTGTACGTAGTACTAGTTGGGCAGATATTTGTTTGGCATTATTACTTAGATTTTTTCTCCGTGATAGTAATTTCCTTGGTGTCGCGATATTTAATTGACCATTCAGGAGGGTTTTGTGTAAAGAACGTTTTGCCGGAGGGAGGAGGAGAGGAGTAAAAAGAGAGGGGTAGTTTAGGAGCTGGTGGTGTTGTCTGATAGCAAATACTACTTACTAACTTGCCAGATGCTTGTCCTCTTGTGTGCCAGTGACTCTGTCCCGTGGGTGCATTAGGCAAACCAGCATACTGTCATACTGCCATACTGTCCAAGTAACAAACTAACTCACTAACTAACTAGTCAGTTATAACATCATTGAGTAAACCCCCCTCTCACCGCCCTGCCCCGCTTGGAGGATCTCCTCTCCTTTCCGGCTTTTGTGCTGCTTCTCATTCCTCTTCCGGCTTCCGCTCCGAGTGACCATCCCACTTCTCCATTCTCCATTCTGCTTCCTTCCATCCTCTCATTGACTGAGCTATCATCTATCCATCTATCCTACTACCTGCATCCACCCGAGCCTCCCTAGCCAGTCCTCCAGTTCGAGCTCACCATCCAAGCATAACCTGCCCGGGGAGCTCCATCCTGATAAGCCCTGATACTCTGTACCGCCAAACCATGGTCTGCGTCTTGCGCATCGTACCACTGGCAGAACGTCTGGAGCTTCACGGTGGCTGAGCAACTCTTAACTTTAACTTTGTTATTCTCCGCTTGTCAGCCTGTATTCTTTGCAACCAGGCTACATCATCAAACAACAAAATCTCCGATAAGAAGTACCACCACCACCACAACCCCTCTTCCACCCCCTCACTCCCAAACCCACCCGGGCGCATTTCCTTCGTCATGTCATTTCCTTCACTGGACGGCAGCGAGCCACTCCCTGGCCGTCCCAGAACCGCTTCCACCACGCGAGCTTCACGTGGAGACTCTAGGAGGAAATCTATTTCATTCAATATCGGCGATTCCGAATCCCTGCCTCCCAGTCGCTCGGCAAGCGTCTCGGATCGCAGGCGTTCGCCTTCACAGGTGCCTACGGAGAGGGAGGCTAGACCTGCTACTGCTGCGGTTAGCCGCGGTCCATCCCCCCCTCCGCCCAAGTAAGTGCTGATACGTACTGGTCCTGGTTGATATCATCGCTAATACGGTGGCTGCTTAGGACCTACGAACGGGGCGTCTCCTTCGATACATTTGATAATCCCGACGCGGCAGATTTCTCCTTGACACTGAATTACAAACACAAAGGGTACCAGAGCACGCGGCGCAGTCGGACATTTCTCTGCGGTACAGATCAGAACGATTATTCTGATTTCGCGCTCGAGTGGCTCATCGATGAGTTGGTGGATGATGGCGACGAGATCGTCTGTCTCCGTGCAGTGGAAAAGGACTCCAGTATCGCGAGTGATGCCGCAGTCGAGGCGGGAAAATACCGGAAGGAAGCGGAGAAGCTGTTCGAACAAGTGATTCAGAAGAACACCCAGAATGAGAAAGCGATCAGCTTGGTTCTGGAGTTGGCTGTCGGCAAGGTCCAGGACATTATTCAGCGCATGATCAGGATCTACGAACCCGCTATCCTCATCGTGGGCACGAGGGGCCGTAATCTAGGTGGCATGCAAGGATTGCTGCCAGGCTCCGTCTCGAAGTACTGCTTACAACAATCGCCGATTCCTGTTATTGTGGTGCGACCTACAACCAAGAGGGAGAAGAAAAAGAAGAAGCGCCTCGCAGACCCCACCAGGCGCAACTACAATAATATACTGGAAATGAGTGAGCGACGAGGAAGCCACATCTTCGATAGAAGCTCCAGCAGAGATAGCAGTGTGTCAAAGCTGCCTGACGAGGAGGCTGCCGTGGCTGCCGCGCTTGGTTTACCTTCGACGTACACTCACTCGCGGAGCTCGCTCTCCACATCGGAGCGAAGCAGCGTCAGTCATGACGAGTCTCCCTCGCCCCTGGGCTCACCTGATGCTGCTTCCCGAAGCCCTCTTGGCGGGAGCGTGGAGAACTCCGAGATCGACACCGGGTCAGATGATGAGCCTACCGTATCGCACGTGGAGAATCACAGCGACGGGACTTTATCGCCAAAACAGTCGTCTGAGACGCAAGAGGTCCCTGGATTGTCTGAGGTTGATGCAGGCGCATTCACGTCTAGCATGAATGTTCCACTTATCGTAACCGAAGACTCTCCTCCAGGCGGCACAGGACAACAAAACGATTGAGCGAGATGAGCTATGCCGAACACCACCTTGGTAACAATTATTTTGGGTCGTTGCGCCCATCAACCTACACACACTCGCAGATCACACGTCAGAAGATACTAGGCAACCAAGCCCTTCATTGCACGTGAGACTGTCCAACAGCTGTCACCTGAGAACACCTCGGGGTTCTATCACAGCATGATGGGCCGATGTTCACTTAGCAAAGGACATATCCAAGAAAGCAACACGCTTCAAGCAGCGTGGATGCTGCTAGGGGCGACACTATGATGGACCCCGAATGATCTTTCAATTCACATACATATTTCATCTTGTTCACTTAGCGAGTTGTCGAGTCAATAGAGCGCAAGCACGCCAGTGCACACACATACATATACATACATAGATCAAAACTACCTGATCATAATCAACAATGTAAACTACTCATATGAGCTACTTCCAAGCATGCACCATCCCCCCCTCTAAAAGGCTTCAACTAGCATCATAAGTCATTCATTCCTACTACAGTACTACCATCTCCCTCAACATAGTAATCTTCCCTATCTCCGTCGCCTCTTCAAACCAAACAAACCCAAACTTAGCATATCAACTAAGATCTAGTTGAATTACCACTCACTCATAGTCCTCTACCTCGAAGACATACATAAATCCGTACATACACACACGCATTCAAAACTATAAACAATATCACTATTGAATCAGGCCTAGAGACATCGTTATGTCTACTATAAGAGAAAGAGGGGGAGGGACAAGAACAAGATAACTACTACACATTCTCCCTCCTCCTCCTCCTCCTCCTCCTCCTCCTCCGTGGTTACTGATGCTGAAGCTACTATGACAAACAAGTAAAGTTGAACGAGAATGTAGGGATTGGTGATGAGAATCAGAGTGAAAATTGGGCAATAGCTATCATACTACAGAGGGAAAGCCATCGAGCGATGAATACTATCACAAAAACCACTACAACTACTCTTCTCATCCAAGATATCAAAGCAAGATGTTATTATATTAAAACAATGAAGAGTGGGGGGGACTTAAGTATGTCGATGATCCGGGATGTCGACAAGAAAAAGTGGTGAGTTGGGAAGGAAGGATATTGAGAGGAAGAATGGAATGGAATAAGGACCAAGAAGAATGGAAGAATAGTGAAGAAAAAATAATAAGAAACTTTTCTAACGAGATTTTGTCTAAGAAAGTAGAAAGAAAAGGAAGAAGCAACTGCAGGGACACTGCAAGCTATCGCCAGCAACACACCGAAACCCAGTGTAGATGCATCAAATGCAGAAGTGAAAGAAAGAAAAAAGGCAAAAAAAAAAAACAACGTGACTACTAAAACTTGTCTCTCGCATGACATAAGTAAAAACGTCGTGGCTAGCCTGCAAGTCCCGCCCCGGTGGTCGACGCTGGTTCTCTGCTTTTTTTTAATGGAGAAGTGCAGCGTCGTTTCGGAGAGGAGAAACCGTCAAAGCTCTCCGGGTATTGAAAATGCAAGGAAAAAGAAAGCAAGGAAAAGGACACATAGAGCAATACATGATATGATAGCAATAATGGAAAAAGAGGATGATCAAAAGCAAGGGCATAGCAAAGGTCACCATGGACACTCCTGCGAACCAAACCTATCTCGCTAGATTCAAGAACCCCCCACCTCCGTTATGGGTCGTAGCAACAGAATTGTACAAGAGAATGTCGGAAGTCCCCTCTATTTCCACGGGAATAATATGAGCGACCGATCTTTTTGGTTTTCGCCGAAATCATGGACGAGAAGATTAGGGAGGAATGTTCATTTCAAATCACATGACGGACATGGTCGTGACTAGGTGTCAAAAAAGAAGTGAGGAATTTTCCAGAAGAACGGAATCATTTTTCATTATCATTGCGACAGAATCTATGAGGCCTCCTCACCGTCCTTGGACGGGGTCTTGGAAGGCCGGCGCTCGACCGCGGGTTGCGACTTGGTCAGCAGAGGGGAGGTAGGGTTGGAGGGAGGGGAAGTGGCCATGTTGTCACGGTCTTCCAAGCTTGCCAAAGCACTAGAAAGATATTAGCATCATCTCATGGAATAATAATCTCTGGGCTCACTAACCTGAAGGCATTGATCGAGGAGGCGGCCTCCTTGTCTTCCTTCTTGCCGGTAGGAGTGCCAGTGCGGCTGCTAGCAGCGCTGTCATCACTGCCACGAACCAAGTTGCCACCAGGGCCCAGATTCTTCCGTCCGCTGTTGCTGCGGGAGCCCAGCATGCTGGAGGGGCCGAAAGACATCGGCTGGTTGGTTTGACGAGAGGTGCGAAGGCGGCGGAGATCGTCACTGCCGACCTTGCTAGACGCGAAGTCTTGCGGGGGAGCCTGGTTACCATATCCGCTGTAACTGCGGGCATCGCCACGACCCAAGCCAGGGCGGCTACCACGGTTGGCCTGTTGGCGAAGACGTTCCATCTCGGCTTCCTGCTGGGCACGAGCAGCCTGGTAAAATAGTCAGTAAAGGTACAGCCAACACATATGCTTGATCAGATACGTACCTCTTCACGGATCTGTTGGATGGTCTTGGGACCTTTGTCAGCATCCTTGGACTGCCAGCGAGCAGAACGCAGATCCACGATATCCTAATGCGAGTGTTAGCAGATGTCGCAAGCCAGTATGTCAGCGGTAACGGGAATCTTACCATCAACATGAAGCGCAGACGGCTGGGCAGGCCAGGAGTCTGGATCATCAGACCAATCCGGTGGAAGTAGGCGTTCATAAAGGCGTGGCCCTTCTCAGAGACATCGAGACTGGCACCAATGGTACGCAGCAGACTGGTCAAACTCTCAACCTCGGCCTCATCAGGCATACCTTCGTAGTCGACAAGCTTCTTCACACACTCGTGCATGATACGCTCCGTCAACATGCCCAACTTGTACAGCTCACCAATGAACTTGACGAGACCCAGACCACGACGCTTGGCGGCGGCAGCCTTGTAGTATTCATCAGACATCATGGCGGCCTCCTCGGTCTCACCCTCCGGCTTAGGGGGCAGGTTGACCTTCCAACCACGCTCGAACTCCTCCTGACAACGGTTGAGGAGGTACTTGCGGAACAAGCTACCACCAGCGACAACGTTGCCATTCTTGTCATGGATATTCTCATCCTTGATCTCAGCGCTCATACTCTCAAGCATGCGCTTACAGAACTTGGCATAAATAGAAGCCCAGTGGGCCTCGTCGGTAGCCTTCTCGAATGTAAGCTGGATGACCTGGCGCAGAGTACGTCCATCGGTCTCGTCCTTGGACTGAGAGACAATTTCCAGGAGCTGGCCGGCAATACGGTCGAAGTTCTCGGGGGTCATCTTGTTCAGAGCAGCCTTGACCTTGCGCTGCACCATATCCGGAGGCATGTAAGCGGAGCCGGCAGGAGTAGGCCCAGCAGCAGCAGCAGCAGCAGGGGCTTGGCCAATACTGCGAGGCTTCCAACCAGTAGAAGACACCTGCAGAGCCTTGACTTCCATTCCAGCGGTAAGAGGCATGGACTTGGCCATTTCCTCCTCCTTCTTGGCGTTCTGCTTATCACGCTTGCTGCCAGTCCGCGTACCGGAGCGGTTGCTGGAGCCAACACGAGGAGAAGAGGGCATGCCGGGGTGCATAGCGCTTGCAGAGTTGGTGCGACTGAGACCAGGAGCGCCAATTCCGAGACCGGGACGTCCGAAGTTGCCGAAGGGGTTGCCCATGGAAGAAGTGCGTGCGGCGTTCGACATGGCGAAGCGCTCGGCAGAAGTGGTACCAGGAGGCAAGTTGGAGCGGCTGGGGGCCTGGCCGAAGTTGCCCATCTGGAAGGGGGCGGCACCAGGGCGCGAAGAATTGCGGCCACCCATCATGGGCGTCCGGGCAGACTGAGGGCGAGAGGAATCGCTATCACCAACGGTCTCACGCACGCGCGCATCCCAGTCAATGGAAGGCTTCTCCTTGAAGACACTCTGGAACTGCAGCAAGAACTCCTTGTTGTAGTGGAACTTGCGGTCGGCAGGGGCACTTGCGTTCAGCGCAGGGTTCGGGGAGGCGATAGATTCAGGGTAAGTAATCTTGCTGAGATCATCGACAAACCGAGCAGAGTGCAGAGCCTTCATGGCTGCGCTGGGCTGAGGAGGCTCAACGGCCTTGGCGGTCTCCAGCTTAAGAGCAGCCGGCTTCTCGCGCTTGTTGGCACTGGCAGGCTTCGCAGGAGGTCCCATGGACATGTCAGAAGCGGGAGTAGCGGCACCGCTGTCTCCAGGAGTACTGGCCTCGGTAGCGGGGAAACCACCCTTCTTGAGGGAAGCAAAGAGATCCTTGTCCTTAGACTCCTCTTCACGCTTCTTAGCACGAGCCTCTTCGAGGGCCTCGGCTTCACGCTCAGCGTTCTTCATGTTGGCCTCGTAAGCCTCGAGCTCCTCCTTCTCCTTGCGCTCCTTCTCTTCCTTCTCAGCCTTCTTCTTGGCGTAGTAGGCCTCTTCAGCAGCACGCTCCTTAGCCTCGATCTCGGCCATCTCGCGTTCGATGGCATCGTAGTCGATATCGTCATCGTCAGCAGGGGCAGGGGCAGCGGCGGGCTTGGAAGGCTCCTCGGCCTTGGTCTCAGCGGGCTTATCCTTCAAGCTCAGGTCCTCAAGACCCTTGCGAGCCGCTTCCTCATCCGCAGCCTTCTTCTGTGCAGCTTCCTCCTCTTCCTTCTTCTTTTGAGCCGCATCCTCCTCGGCCTTCTTGCGCGCGGCCTCTTCCTCTTCCTCCTTCTTCTTCTGGGCAGCTTCTTCTTCCGCCTTGCGACGCTCAGCCTCCTCCTTCTCGATCCTATCCTGCTCAATCTTCTGGTGCACCGCGTCTCTCAGCTCCTTCTTCTTTTCCTCATCCGTCTTAGTGGACTTGGAATCGGTGCGAGTGTGGTCGGCACTGCTGCCGGTACGCGGGGGAGGAGTCGAGGTCGGGGTGGCAATCTTGACAGGGGAAGGAGTGACACGGGCAGGAGAAGCTGGGGCCTTCTCGAAGGTCTTCACGGCACCACTGCCAGGATCCTTGATGACAACGGCATTCTTCTTGGCCGTGGGGATGACGAAAGAGGACTTTTGAGGGGCGGGGCTGTTGGAGGAACGGCTGGCATTGTGGGCATGAGCGGGGCCAGGAGCGCCAGCCGGGGGCTGACCTTGACCCAAGCTCGACCCGGGCCGATCGTTCGAATGAGACGGGCTACGAGACAGAGCTGTGGCCTGTGCGGCGGGCTGCACCGGGTACTGGTTCTGCATGTACGGGGCCTGAGGGTTGTAAGGAATGCCCGGCCGAGGCTGCGGCGACGGGGGCATGTACGGCACACCGCTCATGTTGTAACCAGGGTAGAAGCCGTAGTTCGGGTCGAAGGTGGGATATCCCTGCTTTGATTTCATCATGGTTAGATAGCGTTCAAAATGGCCACTTTCTGGCGCCAGATTCGGAGGCAGGGTTATGTGGGGGCTATGGGTAGCAGAAGAACGTGGGGGGACCGGGGCACGGGATGTTCCTTTCTTGCGATTCAAGGCGCCACCGCGGCGTGCAGGCTTTTGCAAGGGATGGGGTCTCACAGGTTGAGGGGGCATGGGTTGGCCATAGTAGGGCTGAGGCGCCATCTGGGGATGGGCCATCGGGACCTGGTTCATCTGAGGAGTGGCCGGGTGCGCATTGGCCAATGCGGGACTGCGACTCGCCTGGTGAGGAGAGTTGGGGAAGGGCATCGGGCGCGGCTGGTTGGGGAATTGAGGAGCCATGTTGGGACCACCACGGGGTTGATTGGGGGTCGAACGGAAGCTGGCGTTAGGCGAGTAGGGGATCTGTCCCTGGTAGCTCGACTGCGAGAATCCACGTCCACGACCACCCTGGTGGTGGTAGCCGCCGCGACCGCCGGGACCGCCGCCCATGTGGTTGCTCATGTCGCTGTGGGTCGACTGGGAGGATTCGCGACGCAGATGGGTCGACTGAGCGCCAGGACCAAGGGGTGCCTGAGGAGCCGGGCGCATCTGTTGCTAGCGCATAATTGTTAGTCACAGCATTTCACAGGGTAGGTATGCAGTCGGAATGCCAAGCAAAAGAGATGTGATCCGCAAGATTTGCCCCATTCCTAGCTAGGGAATTCCACCCGATCTGATCTTCTTTTCTTCCACTCGACGAGATTTTTTTTTTTCTTCAATGTGGGAAAGATGAAGGGAACCAAAAGGGGAATAAAATGGGCTCGTAGAAAGGATACACAAGAAAATCGCCACTTACGTTGTCACCAGAGTCACCGAAGCTGCCAAAGTTCGGGACGTTGCCCTGAGACTGATAAGACGACGGCGGTGGCCGGCCACCGCTCGAGGCGGGCTGCGGGATGGGAGAAGGCGAAGTCTGGGGAGAAGTCACGCGAGGGTTCATGGGCGGAGTAACACCGAGACCGGACTGAGGCTGGTTAGCCAGGACAGCGGGATTGCCCATGTTGGGAGATGACTGCTGGTTGGCAGCGAAGCCAAACTGCAGACTGTTCGGACGACCGGTTTGGCCACCGTTAGGGATGTATCCCGAGGTGCCAGCGGAAGTGATAGTCACGGAAGGCTTTCTAGTGTGGTCGCCCTGGGAGGCCGGGGCCGGGGCGCCATTGACGATGGTGACGCCGGGGGTTTGGGATTGCTGCATGGGTTTGCCGCTCACAGGAGATGCTGTAGTCGACTTCCCATGTTGCGACTGGCCGCCCACGGTGACGGGAGCGGCGGTCGAGTCCGTCGCGGACTTCTTGGTGGCGTTGGCGTAGGAACGAGGAGCCGTCGTCGAGGTAGACGAGGGCGTAGGAACCGGCGCCTGAGGCGAAGATTTCCCACCCACTGAAGGAGAGGAAGTGTGTGCGGAGGAGGCGGCCTGAGTCGAGGTGCTCTGTCCTTGAGGTTGAAGGCCTGACTTGGGAGGGATCGAGCTCATTAGACAGGTGATACGCGAAGAAGGTTCAAGCGCTGATAGTTGATTTTAAGATGGGAGGAGAGGGTGTAAGAGAGGACGGTAAGGCTGTTTTTGACAAGAAGACGATTGCGTTAGAAAGGCGTGAGGCTTTTCGGAGGGGGGAGCAAGGGTGATGTCAAGGGTGTGTGTTACCGCAGTCAAGAGGAACACGCTCTAGAACCGCACATCCAAAGATTCCCACACGAAACGGGAAAGGAATCGAAGAGGGGGGAGATTGGGTCGTCTGCGGAAAAGACGAGCGAGATGGGGAGGGGAGGGGGGAAGGAAGAAGTGAAGACCACAGAACAAGAAAGATATCACGTCGTGGTCAACGACGATGGGTCTGGGGAAAGAAAAAGAGGAAAAAGGGAGAAGAGGGAAAAAAAGAGGGGGGAGGAAAAAAGGCGAGAAGTTTGGAGGGAAAAGATTTCGGTTCCCTATTTTTTCCTTTTGGTGTTTGGCCGGTAAAAGTTGGTGGTGGTGGTGGTGGTTTTTTTCTTTTTTATTTTTTTTTTCTTCTCTGGTGGTGCTTTTTTTTTTCCCTTCTCACTTTTTTTTTTAAAAAATTACCGTTCGGGTTTAGGCGTAAGGACACCCGCCAGAACCAACACCAAACGGGTTGTAAGTGACTACTCGGAACAACCCACACAACAACACACAAGCAGCGAAAAGAGTAGGTGTGGGCTAGAACCACGTCAATAATTTTCCCAGCTTTTTTAGACCCTAGTAAGAATGAAAGGAATATGCGTCTGAACAGAAAAGATGAATCACCCCATTGTGATTTGAGTCAGACTTGGACTTAGTGAATGCGCCATATGATTGATTGTCATTTATGGCCTACACAATACACCAGAGGTACATCTTGACGCGGAATCTCCGCTCCATCGGGTCAAGGCGGCGACGGCCACCGGAGCCAAGGATGTCACTAGGCCAAGAGTGGTATCATTGGGGGTAAATAACCAACCCTCTTTCATTGAACATTACTGACTAACGGACTAGTAGTACTGTGTAGTTTAACTAGTCTAGTAAGTAAGTGACCAAGATCTTGTCGCTCAGGCTCGCACTGGCGCTTCCTGGTTCTACCCACAGAGTGACATTGTCCGTGGCGAGACGCTATCCTAAGCGCTTATATCACCCAGTAAAATCATATGTTGATTAAGAAAATGGGAAATGATTGTGTTATATCAGGAAATGCATCGCAGATTCTTTCTCTTCTGCCTACTATCCATCTTCGATGCTCATCATCATTGTAGTAGTAGTGAATGGTTTAGCCAAAGCAATGACGCTGGATGCTATCATTTTGACACCTTAGGCACCTACTAGGTTTTGGCGTTTGCCACACAAAGCAAGCAGCTTACTTTCCAATACCGTATGATACGGTCATGGGAATCATTCGGCAGCACCACACCTTAACTTACTGCTTGCTTGATTGCTTGTGTTACTTGCACAACTTCTTCAGCTGATGGGCGGGAGTTGCAGCATATTATCCCATCTTACAATTTTTTAAAATAATAAGGCTTATACAAGATTTCCTTACGAAAGATCAAGCATAAAAGGGAAGAAATATGAACTGAAGAAATGAAGAATAAAAATAGAAGACGGAAGGGTATATATCACAAAACCGATCTTCCCCTTCACAACGCCCGAGCACCCAACCATGCACCCCCGATCGCCCGGTCAACAAACCAAAACCACGTTAAGCCCGATTTCCCAGCATTCCAAGCAGATACCGACATGCATCCAGCCTACCACACACCGGCGAAAAACCCATCCATCCATCCCTATCGATAACTAACTACTAAGCAAGAACAGACAGGCAGACACAGACCAAATAGACACCGCAGGTTTATTAATAGAAAGTAATCTTTATTTTCTTTTTTTCCTCTTTAATACTTCGTTGGGGATTTGTGCGATCTCGCCTCATCCCGGCTATGCAGAAGTAAGGCCGTATTGTGATTTTTTTTTTTTTTCTAATTCCTCACATGCTTGGCTGACTGACATCGGCCAACCGGCCGACAATACTAGTACTAGTCTACTACTAATGGTTAGTAGTAATCCACTGCCTATTCCATCTTCCCTGCCTTGATTGGGCCGACGCTATTGACTGCCAGCATGTACTTACTTAAACGAAGAAGTAACTAGACAAGACAAACTGCCTTGGTTATGGATAGATACCGGTGATTGAAATAAACATCCAGCCATCTCTTGAAAATTACTAATTCCCGATCTTCCCTCCATTTTCCAGATCCCATATTCACCATGATTTCATTCCTCTTTTCCTTCTTTCCCCTCTTGTTGTTCACCTTTCCCATCATTGGACCCCTCCTTCCACACCATATACCCCCCAGCTGACACTATCACCCCCCGCACAGTGTTCAACACCGGAGCCGCCGCATACCCATTCATCGCCGCGCTTTGCAAACACGCCCGGACACTTCGTGCGACAGGATTTCCCAGGTAGGATTGGCTCCAAGCTGCCAACGACCCTATAAGCAATGTATCAAGTGATCGGGGTCAGTAAAGTGGGTTAAAGGCAAGTAGTACCGTAACTCCGCACACAGAGAATCGAGTAGAGCAACCATCCACAAACACCCAACATGAGCACAACCACCCAAACATTAAATAGTAAGTAGTAAAGTAGCAAAAACATAGCAATATCATCCCCGAAGTTGCTATGGTGCAATCAATTGCATTGTAGACATACCTGCCCACGGCCCCAACCGACCATATCCCACCAGGTTAAGCAACCCTCCCGGGTAGACAAGACCCACGATGCTAAAGATTGTCTGGTAGGGATGTTTCACAACATAGTCTTTTGTAGCATTCCCCGCCCGGGCAATTTGCGGCTTCGCAGCATCCACGTAGGGACCGGTCCGGTTGGCGAGTTGAGTCAGATTCACATTCAGATTCACGTTCGTTGAATTCAGACCCGTTAGATTCAGACTCGATGTGTCGGGGACGAGATGTCCTGCTACTTGTTGGAGGCGTTGGATGGTTGTCTGGGTGGTGTTGTAAACAGACCCCAGCCCCATGAAGTTGCCTGTCATTGCTGCGGAGGTGAGCGCTAAGAGATGGACGAGGGTGAATAGGAAGGTGGTAAGTTGCATGTTCAAGTGTGATGGCGCTGCATTTAACGGTGGTGGTGCTTGCGGGGATCGTTGGTGGTTTTTCCTGAGCCTTGAGGGAGGGGTAGATAAGAGTGTTATTAGTAGCCAGCTGGGACGCAAGGCTGTCGGTATCTACGTGGTGGTGTTGGTTCGGTTGGGCTTTTCTGTACAGTGACAAGGGGCTCGTGCAGAGAGGCTGCGGCAAGGCGCATTTACTTCGCATACGTCGCTGCCACTCACGTAGCGCTGCTACTTCTGTTTCAGCTGGACTGCGGCTGCTTTCGCTTGAAAAGACATCCCGCCCTATCAATCTTGCTTTTTCATTGAGAAAGAGTGCTAGTCTCATGCAAGAGAACTGTCTGCTTGGTCTAGGTATTCAGTGAGCCCGACTTCTTGCGCCCTCGTTCCCATGGTCTACACCCGAGGATCCAGCTTGCTCCCCACCTGCAAACCAACCAGAGGCCCAGTTTCCGCTGCTTGTGCGGCCATGCGCATCGGACGAGCGTTCCTGAGTATCCTCATGCTCCACATGAGTAAAAGAGTTCTCGCTGCGGTTCTTTCGGAGCGGTGCACCACCGTACGCCAGGTCATCCACCTCTGCGCCTGCACTGTGCAGGTCGCGCTCCTCCTTGGCCAGAGCGCTACGCAGCACTTCCAACATGTCTCTTTGGCTCGAGATATACTTGGCCTTATCCGCACGGGACATGGACGCGACCTCCCGTGGCAGTAGTGTTCCGCTGGCAGACAGCTCCTCCCCGCGTGCTTCAGCACTCTTGCCAGATGCAACTGAAGCGACCGCAGAGCCGATGGCAGAGAGCCAGTCGTTGCCTGTGGCTGGGGCAGAGCCTCCAGCGGCTGTGGGAATATTGAACCGGGACAAGAGCGACTGCGCATAGGCAGCCGGGCCAGTCGGGGGTGGAGGAGATGCGGGACGTTGGGCCGGCAAGCCCAGAATATTTTCCCGGACGTAGTCTAGGGCTTGGTAGAAATACTGAAGTCCTAGAGCCTTGGCACGCTCATGGCTGCGGCCAATGAATTCCTCGATTTCACGCTCATGGTGCTCAAGGAAGGGGTCGACATATTCCTGGTATAGACTCCGAGCTCCCTGCGTTTGGGGGAGAACGAGATAGGAGAAGAAGAAGAGTCGGATCCAGCTATAGAACGGAAACCTGCAACAACCTGTCAGCAGACGGACTTAAGCATGCCCTGATATTGTCTCGTGGCCGTACCATCCCAGAATGAAGACCGTCCACGACTCCGCCATCAGCACGGCCGACAGAACGACCCAATACATGAGCCATGGTGCCAGCTGGGAAGGGTCGCCAGTCCGGAGGGCTTTGAAGGAAGCAAATATAGGAAGCAGGATCGTGATGATTGAGCTAAATGCATGGTCTTGTTAGCATATGCATAGCATATGAGAAAGTGCAGGGAACAACTCATCCGGGGTGTCCGGGGTCGACCGGCATCGCCGGGACTCGATGACGAAAGATAGCAGGTGGTACTCACGACAAAAGGTCCGCAATGATACCGAACATGATGGGCGATTGTTAACAGTTCGATCCGTTTGCTGAACTGGGTTCCTTTGGAGAAAAGGGTGCTAGGAGGGGGGAAAGAATTTATCGGTAAGCTGAGCTGCTGCTGGATTGCGGGGCAGAAGCTTCACGCGACCAACGGACCGACACAAAGGAGAGCGGCCAGCCGCAAGAAAAGTCTATTGCTTGAAGATTCTTAGCGGATTGGCCTGCAGATTCCAGGAGGGAGGATAAGGTGGTAGTAGAGAAGGAATGGAAGTAAAATTCGGGGAGAGAAAAGGCCCAAGACGGAGCGTGGCTGCCTTGAGTAACTGGGGCCAAGCCACGATGATCCATCGAGCCCTACAGTGGTACCTACCGCATTAGGCAAGTATCGGTGCGGATGCCTTAACTCAGCCGCGTGGCTCAGGCAATCGAGCTCTCTTCTTCGGGACTAGTTCCATTCTAAGGGCAGCCTGCCCGCCTTGCCGTTTCGGGAAATGCCGCGGTCTTGACGTCATGAACAACATTATCAGTTACTGATTTGAAGCAGAATGAATAAGTACTACATAATATGGTACATTTTCTAACCAGCGTTTTATTTTTAAAAAGGTGAATTGAGTTATTAAGACATTTTCAAGACAAAATCAGCAACACTAATCTGACTCCTCCTTCAGATGGAGAGTAGTACCACTAATACTAGTACTACTAATATATATATGCTGCTACCATGCATCAAATGTGATGATGATGTCCCGCTATAACATTCACGATGAGGGTAGTAGTGCTTTGAAACTGAAGAGCAAAATCACTGCAACAAGCCCCAATAAAGAACTAGCCACTTTATCCATCTACTAAAAGCCTACTTTAGCATTGAATGATAGTACAATGTTATCCTTCACTGCCAGCGCGGAGGGCTCTCCTTAGCATCACAAAGGCGGTGGGGCTGAACTGCCGGTCATGTTGTCGGATGACCTCAGTGCCCAACAGTCGCCTTGTCTTCTGGACTCGTCAGAACAACCTCGCCCTACGCTTTGGAGCCAATTTTGCTCATCGAATTCAGAAACCCTGTTACTAGTTGTCATTGGAATCAGACAATCTCCCCGAAACTTGTGATTGTATATCAATAATACTCGCTGCCTGATCCTGCTCGCCTGTCGCACGAGACCATCCTTCCCCTCATATAGGTGGCGGCAGCTCACTTGCCTGACGCCGAGCTCAAGAATATCCCTACTACACCAGTACCTCCTTCCTACCTGCATCTTCTGTTCCCCAGAAACGTCGCAATGTGTATCGCGCTATTATCCACCGCACATCCTTCCTATCCCTTGATCATCATCAACAACAGGGATGTACGCGACAATGATTCAAACCACATGCTCGGATCCGTCCAAAACTAACGGCGTCTAGGAATACATACGTCGACCGACATCTCCCGCTGGCTGGTGGCCTTCACCAGAGTCCAATATCTTAGGTGGCCGTGATCTAGCGCGAGAGCCACATGGCACATGGATGGGGGTGACCAGAGAAGGCAAAGTGGCAGTATTGACCAACTACCGCGAAAATACATCAGAACAAGCCATTGGGGCGAAGAGTCGGGGAGCCATTGTATGTAGCTGGCTTGCTGCGCCTTCTGACGAGAAGCGGTCAACCCGGGAATATGTGCAGGATATGGTTGCGAGTCCCACCGCCAGGAATGTCGGTGGGTTCAGCCTGCTCTGTGGATACATCAATGAGCCCCTGGCAATCGTCTCCAATCGCTCATCCACCATGGACCAAATTGCATGGGTCGCCACGAAATCGGGCCAGACGTTGGGCCTCAGTAACACAGTCTTCGAGGATCGCTCATGGCCTAAGATCCTTGACGGCGAAAGACTAATGAATGAAGCCATTGCTACGCACGTGCAGGCTGGGGAGGACGAAGATGCTCTTATTACCCGATTCCTTGATATGCTGAGCACCAATACACTCCCGAAGCTCTCAGAAAATGCCACTGCGGAGGATTACCTTCCGTATTTTCGGAAGAGCATCTTCATTCCGGTCCTGGGTGCTCACGAGAAACCCCCCAAGCCGGCAGACACAGTATCTCCTGTGTGTGTTCATAGCACGCATGCGAATGGTGCTGCGGGCGGGGAGCACCATGCAATGGATCTGTCATTCCTGCATGGGCCGTATGGAACTCAACAACAAACGGTAGTCCTGGTAAGTGACGATGGACGTGTGCGGTATTTCGAACGCACACTATATGACAATGATGCAAACGCGATCCCGATCGGCCAGGGTGATCGATCATTCGAATTTCATGTCGGCCAACACAGCAACAAAGCCGACAGAATCTCATGAGTCGCCGATGGCATGTCCTGGGGTGCTCCGAACAGTATCCATAGCAATCTAATTCTCCGCTCACGGCCTTCCAATCGGCCTCGGTGGTTGTGGCTATGTAAATATTTATAACGGCGTGCAATATAAAAAAGCCCTAAAATAGTAAACCAAGGTCAATAGCTCCGGGGAAGTCGATTGCGATATGGAGTGAATAAATAGTAAGCCTCCTAGAAGCCCGTAGAAGCCGGCCATTGCCACAATCAATACTTAGCCGGCCGAAAAGTGACATGCCATGTTTGCTTCTAGAGTTATTCCGGGTGGAATAACATCGGGGAATCCTGAAGTCCTGGCAGATTAGGAGGCCATATTAATGGCTTGAGGGGATTATTGTACTATTGATTTTTTTTTAGCCAGCCTCGGGATTAATTTCAGCACGTGTTTCTCAGGAGTCGCTGTCACCTCCGTGTCCTGAACAACCTCTCCCGCTCACTCCCCTCGCAATAATGCCCTCATTATTGCCCCCAATTTGTAAGACTGCATCGTCCACAGCAGCCAGATGGCATTTCGCTAGAAGAAAGCATGAGATGTTCAATTACTCGACTGAGGACGGCATGATTTCCACCGACGGTCCGAGTGGGTCTCCCAAATTCTTGTCTCACCGTTGGATACAGACGGGTCGGCCAGAAATTACCACTGAAGAAACCAGCCTGTAGGACAGGAGGCCACAAAAGTGATCAATCAATCTGCAAGCCGATATGAATGCTAATAGACTAACGGTTCTCTTTGTCTTCGGGCCTATTGACCAGTTCTGTGCTCCCACCGGCCCGGAAGAAATTTAATTAACCGTGGAATCACTCCACCAACGAACAGGAAGCTTAGGCTGCTAACTCGTTTCATCTTAATCAGATCTCCTGCGCGATGCCATGGTATGGCCCCACGCCTTCCAGGCAGGCAATTTTCGCCCGGAGAAATGAAGGATGACTGACACGGGGCCAGTGCATCCCCTCCGATGTGGTCGCAACAATGCGGGCATGGCTGTTTCCATTAGGTGGCTAAGCCTTGAGGTGTAACAACGGTCTACGCGCTCTCTCCACCACACCCCAGCGTTCTACAAAGGAGTTCGGGGATATGCCGTGGTGACTACCGACACTTGAGCATACTGCCTGAAAACCACATTTTTCCAGCAGCTAAAAAGCTGCTTTCGTCGTGCTTTTTCCTGTTTTCCGCCCGTGGCGTATCCAGATATTAAGGGTCGCTCAGGGACCGGCGCTAGCCCAGCGCCGGCCCAGTGCCCTTATTTCGGAGGAGTCGGGCGAGATGTTCTCGACTTCAGGGAGTCCACCCTAGTGGATGGATCCCCTGGCGGGCCACAAGGTAACTGTCTCAGAGAAAGCACCTAAGGCGTTTGCTGAGATTAAGCTGTGGGACCAGAGAAATGATAGGGAATTATGGGATGGTTGCTTTTGCCCGAGTGATCGATTATAAGTATGGGGAGTCCGAACCGTTCGTTCGTTCTACTTGGCACATCACAATCAAGACTGGCTCTTGACATTCATTACTTGTCTTCTATCTTGTGTTTTCACTCCTTCTTTCTTACCTTTAGTCATTCATTCCTTTTGATCGACCAGTTCGACATACATTCTTTTCAAAATGAGAATCAGCAACTTGATCGTTGCGGCCTCTGCCGCCACCATGGTGTCCGCTCTCCCCAGCCGCCAGATGAAGAAGCGTGACTCTGGCTTCAAGTGTATGTGATGTTTATCTGAACTTCGATGCACTATTCTAATTGATGTAGGGGTTGGTACTAGCGAATCCGGCGCTGAATTCGGCTCTGCCCTCCCCGGTACCCTGGGAACCGACTACACCTGGCCCGAGACCTCCAAGATTCAGGTCCTGAGAAACAAGGGCATGAACATCTTCCGTATCCCCTTCCTCATGGAGCGTTTGACCCCCGATGGCTTGACCGGCTCTTTCGCTTCGACCTACCTCTCTGACCTGAAGTCGGTATGTTGTCGCTCATGCCCTTGATATCATTGTCGTTATAACACTAACCGGTTACACAGACCGTCGAATTCGTTACCAACAGCGGTGCCTACGCTGTCCTTGACCCCCACAACTACGGACGTTTGTAAGTAGATACAGTTTGCTGAGGATGAATGGCATATGATGGCTAACAACTTGCAGTGATGGAAGCATCATCGAGTCCACCTCCGACTTCAAGACCTGGTGGACGAACGTCGCTACTGAATTCGCCGACAACGACAAGGTCATCTTCGATACCAGTGAGTAGACCTTCTATACCAGTTATACAAGGAGATATCTAACAGAAATAGACAACGAGTACCATGACATGGAGCAGTCCCTGGTTCTGAACCTCAACCAGGCTGCTATCAACGGTATCCGTGCCGCTGGTGCCACCACTCAGTACGTCTTCGTCGAGGGTAACGCCTACACTGGTGCCTGGGACTGGACTACCTACAACGATGACCTGTCTGGCCTGACCGACAGTGAGGACAAGATCATCTACGAGATGCACCAGTACCTTGACTCCGACAGCTCCGGTACTTCGGAGACCTGTGTCAGCTCCACGATCGGCAAGGAGCGCATCGAGAAGGCCACCGAGTGGCTGAAGACCAACAACAAGCAGGGTATCATCGGTGAATTCGCTGGTGGTGTCAACTCCGTGTGTGAGGAGGCTGTCGAGGGCATGCTCGCGTACATGTCCGAGAACTCCGACGTCTGGGTCGGTGCTTCCTGGTGGTCTGCCGGTCCCTGGTGGGGAACCTACATGTACTCTCTGGAGCCCACCGATGGCACCGCCTACTCCACCTACCTGCCCATCCTCGAGAAGTACTTCCCCAGCGGTGATGCTTCCTCCTCCAGCTCTGCCTCTGCCTCCGTTGCCGCTGCTACCTCCGCTGTTTCCACCACCACCACTGCCGCTTTTGAGCAGACCACCACCCCCGCCACCCAGGTTGAGATTGCCTCTTCCTCTTCTTCCTCTTCGGCCGTCGCCGCCAGCCAGACTACCCTCAGCAAGGTCAAGTCCAAGTCCAAGTCCCCTTGCAAGCTGTCCAGCGCCACCTCCAGCGCCGTCTCTAGCGCCGCCGCTGCCACTACTCCTGCTGCCGTTGCTACCACCCCTGTTGTCGTTGCCACCACCCCTGCCGCCGCTCCTACTTCTTCCAGCGTCGCTTTCGCCACCACTTCCGTTTACGTTCCCACCACCACTGCCGCTGTCCCCAGCCAGGTTAGCTCCAGCGCTGCTGCTAGCAGCAGCGGTGTCGTCGGTGTCAGCGACCCCCAGGGTCCCTCGGCCACCAACTCTGCTGGTGAGGTGAACCAGTACTACCAGTGCGGTGGTATCAACTGGACCGGCCCTACCGTCTGTGCTAGCCCCTACACCTGCAAGGTCCAGAACGACTACTACTACCAGTGCGTTGCTGAGTAAATGCACTCACTCCGGACGGATACGTATCTGAAAGAGTGAGAATGGGAAGAGGGAAGGAGGACGAGGAGGTGATATAGAGGGTCCAGGATGAAGTTGTTCACGTTCTTGTATATAACTTTATAAACACTATAAATCAAAAGCGACCCGAGGTCCCGTCTACTTTCACAGCAAATGTCCCATCTACGGCATTACTAGGTATACCTCATTCTCACACCTCATAATATTTGGTATTATAGAATTGAATGCGTAAGCACTATTACTCTGAAGTAAATAGTCCGTTACGGACCACTCGTCCCGCCCGGGAGAGAAAGAGACAGAGCGGGGACCGTTGAAACACCGACCGAAGCTGAAACGCAAGATCCACCGCCAGCCCACACCCTCAACGGCGGCAAATACGGCACATTGTGTGGCCCATCGTTCATTCATGACATGACTGGGATAGTTGTGATACGTACGAAGTAGGAGTACGTTTCAAGGAAGTTTCCGAATCCAAGAGTAATCGAAGGAGGCTAGGAGGTTTAGAAACAATACCCTGGGCTGATAATGGTGTTGACTGGGCCTGTGAACGGATGGTTAAGTATTTAGGGTAAGTAGTTTGTTTATCCGGTAGCGCGGGGAGGGACTCGGTCATTACTGTTTGTGAAAGAAGACAAGGTGATATACTTAGTAGTCTAGGCAGTGGTAATTGAAGGGGGTAGAAGTATAAATTCTAGTGAATAAATAGTGAGCTTCCTGCGATATTGAAATTATCAGACAGCAAGATCATGTCAAAAGCGAGATTTACCTATTCGCTGGTTAGTTGTCTTTTAGTATTGGTCCTGACGAGGTAGATGTCACCTGACTCGGGGGATACTGTTTGTTCTTTTCCTTACTTTCCCCTTCCTACTTCCGACTATGACCTGCTTTTGCTACCACTATGCAAGTACTATCAGTGAGCAGCATGGTTGAGATACTCGCCAATGCTTATTGAGCTGAATGAATTTCTCTCGTTGGCACAATTACGGAGCCGTCAGTTCAGCTAAGATGGCAAAGCCTGCTGTTCGCAAAATACCTCCCAAATAGCCACTACCGACAGAGGAAGTTGGCCTTGGGGACAGTGCATCTTCGTATGTGGCACCACCATCATGGCCTGCATCTTTCGGAGTAGGATGCCTTTTCCAGCAGGCGGTAGTAACTTAGAGAGTTTGTCCAGCCAAGCGAGCACCAGCATATCTCTCAGTTCATTGGAAAGACGAAGTATCCTGCTTGCAGTGTTAAGGAAAAAATGGAGGCGCTGAAAAGGGATTGTCTGCCTCACCCCGCATCTCCGCACTGTCCTGCACTTCTTCAATTCCCTCAAGGGTCTTTGATTGGCGGGTCATTACTCCCCGCACCTCTTGTTATGTCGCTTGCAGTATGACTTCTTGGGATTGAAGCGTTTATATCACTCTGAGGGATAATGTACTCGTGCTCATGTACCCTTGCAGAGTGGCAGAGCAACCCAGTTGTGAGTAAGTGGTCATGAAATAAGAATGATGGACCTGCTGCGCACACTTATCACGCTAAAGACGGCTCGCTTGGGCTTTTCATCGGTACGCTGGTGGTTATATTGATCGAAACCTCGGAGATACCGCAAGAAGTGCATAGAAGATGGTTTCTCTGCATGACGCCTCAGCTTGGAGGGGCCCATAAATGCTGATAGTCTGAACTATCCTATCATTCATCGCGAGCTAGCTAGTCTGTAACCGAGCGTCGATAGCCACCGCAATACGCATTTAGGTACAGCCATGAAGACCGTTGATGGCTGCGAGGTGGGGCTACCTCGACTTGCAATTCTTGATCGGTGAGTATTAAAGTCAATGGCCCTTCCTGTGAGGAGAGCGAGTAAATGTACTCTTGGTTGACTCCTTCTCACCGAATTGATGTTGTCGCTTTTGCATATACGCCCAATATGATTCTGTCTTACCCCTCCGGCTTTACTACCCTTGCTGGGCTGGCATTGCTCGCTCAACTTGCTTCTGCCTCTGAATTACCTCTCCCCATTCTGAAAGACTTCGATGATACTGGCGTTCTTGGTGGGCTCTACAGACCCAATACTACGAGTCCACGCTCGCGCATTGGTATCTATGTCATGCATGCGGAGCAGAACTACACCTCCTTTGTCGGCTGCACAGAGCTTCGGGAGCGTGGGTTTACAGTGTTTTGCGCCAACAACGAAGCCAGCAAATCCGGTTATATGTCAGACATAGATTTTGAGGATATGATGCTCCAAGCCAACACGGGCTTGGCCTGGTTGCGCAACCAGACTGATATCGACAAGGTGGTTATTCTCGGCCACAGCGGTGGCGGTGCAATAATGGCCCAATATCAGAACGTCGCAGAGAATGGCGTGTCCGCGTGCAATGGCCCAGAGAAGATCTCTCCTTGTTCCAATGCTCTGGCTGGCCTTGAGCCTGCTGACGGCCTAATGCTGCTGGATGCCAACTACGGTATCTCCACCATGGGCCCGCTGAGTCTGAACCCGGCTATCGAATATGAAATAAGGCCGTGTCCTGGAACATGCCCATCACCGTCTTAAGGAAATCAAGAAAGGCACGGGATGTTTGGTGATGACGAGCCCCTCACCATCCCTGCGGCTCTTTATCTTGCTACCAAAAACCTCTATATTTCTCAAGATGTTCGAACTCTGCATCACACTACCTATCCTTGGACTTTGCTTGAAAAGAACGGTACGACCGAGCAGATTGTTCAATCGGTGCGTGTCCCCTCCGGCTGGGTCGATGTCTCCCACTCCTGGGAACAGGCTGCTCTCAAAACCACCGTCCGGCGGTACCTCTCCACCCTGGCCATCCGAGCCAACGAGAACTTCGACATTTTGGCAGATAACTTCGAGGACATAGAGTATGTTTCCACCCAGATGGCACCTGCGGCATCGATCAAGGGTGTCAGCGTCCCGCTCTTGACCGTGGGAATGACCGGACACTACGAGTACTTGAACGCTGAAAAGATCCACCTCAATGCTGTAAGGAGCAACGATACCTCGATCGCGTTTGTTCAAGGCGCTCAGCATGGCATTTACCCCTGCACCGAGTGTGAGTCGTACCCTGGGAGAATTTGAAGACACCGTCAAAACATGCTTCAACTATGTTGCGGGTTGGCTTTCCGAGCGGGGTCGCTTCCCGTGAGCCTTTCGCACTTTGCAGGACAAACAGTAGCCTGTATATCTGTGAAACCATCTATGAACCCCGACTTTACTATGCCCCGGCTTGTGTATGCGGTTTGCGAGTTTCAACAACGGTGATGTTGCCATGTCAATACCAGAATAGGGCTTCTTTCACGCACAATGTGCGCTCCTGTAGATGTGAACACAAGTCCGGAGCCGCAATATATTGTTTTTGACGTATGTTATATCTTTTCACGAAGATACCCATGCCTCTCTCTTTAAATCAAGTAATGATCTTGCTCGAAGCTGTTGGTGGAAGACTCACAAGCTGACTCAGCGATGTCAGGTGTCGGATCTTCGGACGTTCGCGAACAGCCGCCTCCCCGAGGTTACTTTGGCGTCGCATCAACTCTCCAACCCATAGGCTGATTGTCGAGTCGCTCCCTAGGCTTTAATCTGCCACACTCCATCTCTGGAATACAGTCGGGGAATAACCGACTAAACTCTGACCCCCCTTGCAGCGCGCAGAAGACAAGCGTATCTATGGAATCCGCACGCCGCTACAACGTCGAACGGTCCTGTCTGCGCTGCCACCAACGCAAGGTCCGCTGCGATAAGAGCTCTCCATGTGGGGCTTGTATACGAGCAAATGTGCTCTGTCAATACCCCGGCCCCAATCGCGTCAAGCGTCGGCCTCCAAAAGTACACAATTCTGATGTCATCGCCCGACTGGAATCACTTGAGCGCTCCATCGCGGCTCTAGCTGGAAACCGGTCGTTGCCTCACCTTCAGCACGAAGTGACAGACGGACGGGCCGTTTCTGCACCAGGTGCGGGGTCCCCATCTAGCAATGAATCGTCCCCGACGGGCACAACTGCGGCGGCGGAGCCATCGCACGACGGCCTTCTAGTTGAGGACGGCCGGTATATCAATGAACAACTCTTGTCCCGAGTCTTGGAAGATGAGAAAGAGCTTCAGTCTGCCATTGGGACGCCGAAAAGCGACACCAGCAGCTCCAGACGACCACTCACGCTCAGAGCGGAAGGTCTACTTGTCAGTCGCTCTGTGGAGGAAGGACATCTCTATGCACTGCATCCATGTCAGTGGCAATCGACACAGCTCTGGCAAACTTTTTTGAATCGCATCGACCCGATAATCAAGATACTTCATGTTCCGTCGACTCAGCCACGGGTATTCGCAGCGATTAACCAGCCGGCAGCCGCGCCTGCTGATCTACATGCTTTGCTTTTTGCCATCTTCTTCGCAGCCACGACTAGTGTGCTTGCCGAGGATCCAGCACATGAACAGAGGCAATCAGAAGTCAAGCGATACCAGCAAGGGCTAGAACTTGCTCTCTATCAGTCGAATTTTCTGGATGCTCCCACCCTAACATCGCTGCAGGCGATGAGTATTTACCAGGTAAGAATCAGATGGCTAGTTTCTCTATGTGGGATATAGCTCATGACACTGTACGATTAGATGTGCCTGCGCTATTACAATAGCGGACGATCTGGATGGACGATGCGAGGGTTGGTCATCCGGGCAGCACAATCCATTGGCCTTCACCGTGACGGGAGACACTTCAAGCTGACTCCGCTGGAATGTGAGCTGCGCCGCCGACTCTGGTGGCACATTTGTACAGCTGATAGCCGCGCGGTCGAGGATCATGGAGTCGGTGTCAATAGCAGCGAGGAGGTCTGCGACACCGCATTTCCTGCGAATATCGATGATCAGGACCTTTCTGCTACGGCGACGGTGCCCCCGGATTCCAAGGACTGCTGGACAGAGATGACAGCATCTCTGATCACAACAGTGGTGAACGAAAAGCGCCTGGAATTGCATCGCACACTGACAACGAAAGTCACTGGAAAGGATCCTGCTGAGATAGTGCGGGAAGCAAAAGAGCACGTATACAATACCTATACAAAACACGGCGATCCCAATATCCCGATCCAGCGACACGGCATGCTGCTGGGGCAGGTTCTAGTGTTAAAAATGGAAATGTACGTGAACCAGAAAGCTCTCCAGACAAATAGCACCTCAATACCGGTCGCAGAGCGCCGTGAGTTGCAAACCAAAACCCTGGACATCTCCTGCCAAGCCCTCGAACGCACCAATGAGTTGTTTACCGACGCGCTTCTCCGTGGATATCGTTGGCTCTCTTCTACATTCATGCCTTACTTTCTCCTCACGTACATATTGTGGCACCTTTGTGTGTATCCACTGGGGGTGCACGTTGAACGCGCATGGCGAGCAGTCAACTTGGTCTTTGACCTCACTGAGAAGGACCCGTTGTGGCCTAATCCGGGGCCAAAGTGGGCAATAATTACTCGCTTGCGTGACAAGGCGTTGTATATTCGACAGATGCAGGTCGCTGTGGAGCAGACCGGCTCAGTCGATGAGACCCAACCGACAGGTACCAGCCAAGTGGAGGCGCCAATGGTAGAGTCGTTCTTCGACTTTGTTAATTGGGATATTGGCGTCCTTGGGTTCCCGGACTGGACTGGCTTAATGCAGAGTGTCGACATAACGGGCTTCGAGCATTTGATGGACACTCAGATTTGACTTCGTGCTTGGCAAGGCCGAACCAGCCAAGAGAATTTACACATTAATTATATTACAGAAGAAACCAAACACATGAGCAGAGAATATCAGAACATTGCCAAGAGTGAAACACTCAGAACTTCGCCTTGAGCACCAAGCCTGTTTGACGAATACGGGTCATCAAGACACACACGGTTCCTGCCAACAGAAAGATGCCCGAATAGATTTTCATGCCCGTGTACGACCCATCATCGCGCTGCAGAATCGCGCCTGCGATAGGGTTGGTCGTCAAGGCGCCAATCGACGCGAACAGGAAAAGCACGCCAGTCCAGTAACCCATCTCCCGGAGCGGGGCAATCTTTGCCACCAGGGCAGCGGACAAAGAGAAATACGCGCCAGAAGTGACACCAAAGAGGACTGCGAAGACAATGTTTCCGGGGTTATTAGTCGCAGGGATCCAGAGCGCGAGGACCAGGATACCCGTCAGTGAACAGACCACGACAAAGATGTTGTATGGCCCGACTTTATCGGAGAATGCGCCAGCTCCCATTCGACCGAAGAGACTACAACCCATTAGCATAATTATCATCTTCGGAGCATAGTCGACCACTCACCTTCCAGCATTCAATATCGGGACCAGATATTGCGCCAAATTCGTACTCATCCCATCCGCAATAGCCGACGTCTCCATGTAATTGATAGGAATGAACACGCCGAAAGTCAACAGGACAAACCCAGAAACAAGAAACAACATCTTCACCTCCTTATACGGCCGCATAAAGGCCTCCTTATCCATCTGCTGTTTCATTGGCGGGATCCTCGACCTCACAGTAAGGCAAGTGACGACAAGCAACCCCAGAATCAGAAAAGCAGCGATGCGCATCGCCCACCCGAAGCCAACACGAGTGATGAGCCGGTCTACCATGATAGGGAAGATCACACCGCCGGCACTTGACCCAGAAGCGATGATTCCATACGCCGCGCCGCGTTTCTTGTTAAACCAGCTGGGAATGGAGCTCATCGATGGCTGGAAAATAGCACACAGCCCCATAGCACTACAGACACCCTGCGAAAGCAAGACCTGGTAATACTCCGTAGAAATGGAAGTCATCATGAGGCCAAAGACATGGAGAAAGGAGCCTGCGATGATGACCACGCGAGCACCGAGTCTATCGCTCAGCGTGCCGACGATGGGGCCCTATAAAGTGTCAGACCAGTCTCAGATGTTCATTTTGTGCCGAAAAGAGAGAAGAGACAAACCATGAAAAACATGAAAAACACCTCCAACGAAGGAATCCACGCGATCGTACTCGTCGAGTACCCGTTGAGCAGCGTCGTCTCATAATAAGTCTGGAACGTTCCGATACCTGTACTTATTAGCATGTACGTAGCAACAAGCCAGATTCTTATCTCATTTCCTGCAAGATAAACCAACACAGAAAGGGGAAAAGGGATAAACATACTATTAATCCACCCAAAAGTACAAAAATACGCACACCACGCCCCCAACACCACCGACCACGCCGCAAATCCCCCATCAGGCGGGGGATCAGCCGTTCCCCACGGCGATTGCGCTGGAGGTTGAGTTGGCGCTTGCTTTTCTGTGTCAGGTGCTAGATCTGACTCTTGTAGGGTATTCTGAGAATTCCTATCATCTTTCTCGTATTCATCACCGGGATGAGCGTTTATAGCTGCTTCATGGGAAGGAGCCATTATGTCTGAATGTCGTCTTTCCCCGTCGATTTTCAGCGCCGGCGAGAAGACTTTTAGAGATGATTATGAGTCGAAGAAAAGAAAGTAACTCGTTCTTTATTAAACACCACCCAAGTAAGAAACCATCCTATCTTTAAGTAAAATACACAATAAATAGGGCTAAGCTGAGCCGAGCTGACTGACGCTCCGCGCGGCTCGGACGTTCACGAACGACCGTCTCCGCGGGCTTTATCGGTCTCGCGCTCGGAGGGGACGATCGGATCCGATGATTAGGGGGTGATATGTCTTTCCACCTTTCTTCATGGGAGTGAGATTGGTTGGCCTTGTGCAATGAGACTAAGATACTATCTGTATAGGGTATATTGTTTGTCGATCACTGGGAAATAAGCTGACTTGGGTGGAAGGTATGTGTTGTGTGGGTGGGGGCGGAGAGTACAAGTAGTGAGGATGTGGGAAGTGCTCTGTAGTAGGTATAGGGCTGGATGTCGAATACTTCACATTCGTGGCTAGAGAGCTTTCCCTCGTTATCGGTGCTAGTGTAGTCACTGGAGATTGACTGGTCGCTTCTGGAGTCATTCGCTGCTGGGGTTTGGTGTCGGCCTTGTCGGTTTTGTCGGTTTTGTCGGTTTGTCGGTTCTATCGGTCTCGTTGTCAGCCATGGTGCCAGCACCGTGGAGCCAGCTCGTCGCCGGCCGGTGAAGTGCGAAAGGGTTCATTCGAGACGAAGGGTAGTAGAGGCGAGGTGAGAAGAGGTGTGTATAGAGCTTTATCAAGTGAAGAAGGTTCAGTTGATGGAAGAGGCGATGTCGGAGAATTATCGGCGATAATGATATGCTTTCGGGAGAATATTCCGCAATGTGACTTGTCGCTGCGGCTTTATGTGCATGCATCGGAGGCCATGTTGGAATGTTAATCTAACATCATCTAATTGTGTAGGATTATCCTATTGAATTGTCTTGCATTCCTGGCCTCCATCGGCTTCAATAACACCATCATTCGGATGCCTTCACCAGGATTTACTCTCTTGGGAGTGGGATCCATCTCACAAGAACACTAGTTGCTTAGTCTGCGACGCTTGGTTCTACTTAAGTCGCATGTCTCAGGCTCAAGGTAGGGAGCCGAAGGTGTTTGTAATTAGAATTATGGGAAGACCGGATTGGTCGCCAGATATAGCAGGGCAGGACCAATGTCGGCTGAGGGATCCCATTTCTTATAAGTGGCCTTGGATGAACTATATTAGATTATGAATGTGAGAGTCTGAGCTTTCGTAGGCACGCGATTCCATCCATGTTGTCATTGCCTCCCCGTTTCCTTTGCTGTCCACTGGTAGAAAAACATATAGGATGAAGAGTAGGGATAAGGGAGTTCTAGCCAGGAAGAAAAACAAAATATAACCGAAAAAACCGCCAATATGTGCTTCATGCTGCGGTAGATGTGCGACGCCTGCGACATGGAAGGAACTACTACCAGTACTGACTATAGTCATCCAAGTCCTGTTCAAGCGGTCAGATCAATGTTCCATTGCCATAGGGCCCCTTGCTTAGGCACTTCCTTCAAGCGAGCCTCCGAAGGTCCATTTACAGCGGAATGGCTACTTACCTCTGCAAGATCAGCAGGTTGTTTAAAGGCATCCTCGACGTATTATCCGGTTGCTACAAGCGAGACCTCAAAAGAAATCAAGAGCCTTGCTGCGGCATAATGGCCATTACTTTTCGCAAGCCTCACGGCTTCATCAAAATAGAACCGATGCTCTCCCACAATGAGTGCTCCTCGATCAAGCAGCAGGTGCAACATATCAATTCGACCGTGTTCGGCAGCGCCCATTAAAGCCGTGCGCCCGTCTTTCATTGCAGGTTTTGCATTGACATCCGCGCCGAGGTCAAGCAGTCTCTGAGCAATGCCTATGAATCCATGTATGGCCGCAATTTGTAAAGCGGTCGCACCATATTCCTCGGCAGCGGGACCATTAACATCTGCTCCGTGATGCAGGAGAAGATTGAATATCTCCATGTTTCCATTCTCAACAGCGAGTTGTAACGGCGTACGACTTCTGGGACCGTATCCCAAGTAATTGACATTGGCTCCTTTCAGCAGCATCTCACGAACGACCCACACCAATTGTGATTTGACGGCAGCTTGCAGAGGATTGAACCAACACTGCTCTGAATTCAGCCACATATCGTAACTTATATCAAAGTCAAGTTGCATCAACTCAGCCAGCCGGTCATGGTGGTTCGATAGTATTGTCCTGATCAAAGCACGGGACACAAGCTTTGGCTCCCACGGTATCCCAGCCGCGGCTGCCCACTCAAGAAGGAATGTGAAATGAGAGCGTTCGGCGTCCCAATCAACCGCCATTTCAAGTACGGATTTGATATCATCCTCCCACACTTGACTCCACCTGTTAAGCCTCGATCCAATTGCAAGTGGCCGAGGTGCTCCTGTAAAGTCCACGTTTGCCTCTCGAAGTAACTTTAACGCGGCCATTGAAGGTTTTCTCAACGCAGCTGCCACTGCTGTTGGGGCTCTCCCCGAAAAGCTTCTTAGTAGAACTGGTAGAAGTCCACTATCCCTCCTTATCGCATATGTGAGAGCATACTCTGTCACCGCAACACCATGCTCCAGAAGAGCCTGTATAAGTCTCATGTTATTTGTATCGGTGGCGGCCTCTAGAGGGGTCATCGAATGTAAGGTGGAGAAGGGATCCCGGGCGTCGTGCTCTTTATGGGCGCCGTTCTGGAGCAAAAAGTGTGCTAAGTCCTCATGTCCCGCTGATATAGCAGCTGCAAGAATCCGATGGCCGAACAAACAGAGCACGCCTGCTAAGACTCCTTTCTCTTTCATTAGGATGGCAGTCTGCAAATTCCCGATTTTCTTCATCTTAACTCCAACGTATCTAGAACCGGCATGTATCAACTTGTCGATCACCACATCATTTCCAACTTCGAGAGCGGCAGCAAGAACGCTACCTGGAGCAGCTTCGAAGCGATCATTCAATCGTGCGTTTGAGTTGATCAGAAGCTCAACGATAAGCACGTTATCTTCCTGAATTGCAGTCATGAGAGCTGATGGCGACTTTTGCGCATCACATCGCTCTCTGTTAACCTTGGCCCCATGCGTGATCAACATCTGGCAAAGACTAAGATTGCTCTTCCGAGCGGCATGCTCGAGTAAAGTAGTTTCTCCCTCATCAGCAGCTCTGACGTCAGCTCCTGACTCTAGTAAAATCTGAGCTATATCGGTTTCGCCGGTCATGGCTGCTAGAGTCAGTGGATACATATAGGGCGGCGAGGAAAGTCTGTTTGCGCCAATAGTAGAGTAAGTCAAAAGTCGGACAATATCAACACTCCTCATCATGACTGCAAGGCCTAGCAAGCAGATATCTATCCCTTCATGTCTAAGACTGTACGGTGGCGCAATAAATCCATTCAGCTTTGCACCTCTGTCAAGGAAATGTTTAACAATCCACGCATTTTTCGACTCCACCGCTGGAACAACGAGATCTGGATCATTGCGTCCAGCTGCAAGATGCTCCTCAAGGTATATGTCGATTATCTCCCCAACCAGATCAAGTGCCTGCGGATAAGAGTAACAGGTTCTCATCGCTGCACGGGCACACTCTCTTGTCACTTTTGCACCTTGCAGAAGTAGCGCCCGAACAACCGCCAAGTTTTCGCTTGAAATGGCAAAATACAGAGCAGTTTTACCCACCTCATTCGCAAGGCCATGTTCAATGTCAGCACCGTACTTGATCAGAAGATTGGTAAGGCGAATATTATCCTCCTGAGCGGCAAATTGCAAAGGAGTCAAGAAGCAGATGTCGGCCTCTTCTGTGAATACCTCAATCAACCCATCCGGATTCATGCCAGACCGGAGCATATTCTCAACAATCTCCAAGTCACCTATCCAAAGTGCACTTTCAAACACTTTCTCTGCGATAGATTCGGCGGTGGGCTCACGGGTTGATAGCAAAATTCTGAGATGATCCGGATCACCCCAGCCACTATCTTTGAGCAGCCTTAAAATCAATCTGGAATCACGTTGCTTTTGTTCTTCAAAGAGCAAATCTTCATCTGGGGGCATTAGGTTATTTGAGATGAGGTATAACACGACACTCAAATGATCTCTAAGCCCTGATTCTAAGGTACTCAGATTTGTTGACAATCCATCAAGTTGTCCTTGCTCCATTTCTGGCATGAAAATACTCAGAGCTGCTGATGTACGTGACGCACTGTAGATGTTCCCGAGATGCTTGAGTTTATTCCAGGGCACAATTGAGTTCAAGCGTCGCATTAGCTCAAAACTGGCGTCTTTGGTGACATTGCCTGAACGCGATGTGTCCACGAAGAGAGAGGAGGGCAAAGAGGGTGCTGGAGAAATATTATATTAGCAGTCAAGTTCGTGTGCGTGTCAAACACATCTCACCTTGTTCTGCTGGGGAATCAAGGAAGCTCATGAACCGCAGCCAGGGCAAAGAGTTGCTCCAAGAGAGGCACATGCCGATCATTTGCGGAGTTGTTACGAGATAGCCCTCGGGGGTCTTTGGAGAAGGGGCTAGATATTGGTCAATACCATGCTCAGATGGGATCAGATATTTAACTTACCATATTGCGATATGGTTGACACGAAGCCCTTTCCGTATTTTGCCTTGGCGATCTTCTTCGGATGGAGCTGAATTCCGTCTATAAAGACCTCACTCTCCTTTCCGTTTCGCTTCCGTTTGGCCACTCGTTTCAGGATCCATTCATCGTTTCTGGACTCGGAGTGTTTTCTAAATCCCCATTTGTTGAGTTGTCTAGTGTATGATGCCTTGCTGAATTTTTAGTCAGCTGTGATCTTGGGAAGCTCAATACAGCGTGCTTGCCTTTTCTTCCACGAGTGCTGGGTTTCCATATAGCTCATCACATCTTCCAGCTTTTGGTTCTCGTGAATATATAGTCGTTCGATCTCGCTCTTGTATATGTCCCATTTCTGGTTGGCCATGTTTATTGACACATTTACCAAGGTTGAGGGAAGGTTGATGATTAGGTCCCGCGGGGGCATGCAGGCTTTAAGAGCCAAAGTCGAAGGTCCCAAACTTTGCTTTTTCACAGCTTTCTCAGCCTTGTCGTGCGTCAGGCAACTTCATATCTAACCAACGCACAGGGCATGCCCGCAGGTGTGGCGCAGGAGTGTAGAAGATCTCATTGGCTGGTTCAAGGGTTCTCATGCATCTTGTGAGAGCTCTCATTGGCTGCTTCCGAATTTCTCACTCATGCTCTTCGATATGTCTTATTGGCCGGTTTCGAAGTTCTCACTCATATCTCTCGACAGGGGTCTGATAAGTCTCATTGGTTGCTTCCAAAGTCCTCATCCATCAAACTGTAGCCTTGATTGGTTGGTTCCCCAGTTCTCGTAGAGATCAACGCCAGAGCCCTGGAGATCAGCAGCAACTACGTACTCGGTACATTATTTCGTCGCACATCCTGGAGGCAGTTAGATGGCCTAAAACTGTATATACGCCAGCGAGTTAGGAGATGATACATTCAACGATGCGATTGAACACATCACCGCACTTTTATAGAGACTTCAATTGATGTGCTGATTTGTCCATTCCCAAATGTTCACTTTGATTGGATTTTTAAGCCCACCCATCAGTGCGCAGACGACGTTTGGGCTCACCATGTATCGAGAACATATAATAAATCTCACCTCCCAAGCCATGTATACATCTGACCGAAAGACACACACCGTTCCAATTTCTGACTCTTTTCTAGATTGCTCTTCCCCCTATCACTTTGAAACTTTCTCTTTCCGTGGTAGCTCTTTCACCATGCCATGGTCCACGACCAACACGGTACGAGACAATTATTACGCCTATTACCACGGGAACCCTCCCATTACTCTACTTGAGCGCCGGGAACAGCCATTCGTCAACATACCGCCGAATCTTCATAGGGACCTGAATGGAGTTCTGCTACCCGAATCCATATCAGCACAGCTGTTGCATAACTGTGTTGCACCACACTATCGTACAGCAAATGTCAGGGGAAACACCATCTTGGATGTCCCTTCTCCGGCAGCGGGTGCCTATAGCACACCGACTGGCAGGCAGTACTACATCTCAAATGCTGGTCTCAGCTACGTGCCAAACAACACGGCAGCTGCTCTTTGGCACACTGGCCAATCTTCTCCGCTGCCCCCGTCTACCCAACTACCCAAACAACCAATCCACTGGCAAAATATAGGCGATCGTGATTTTCAACGCCCAGTCATTAGGGATCGAAGTCAGGCTCCCGTTCGGATCACCAATGAACATGCCGGAATGCACCAGCAGTATGTCTCTTTGAAGTCTCTGGAGTCTCTTGCGAAAGCGATTGCTTTATATGACCTTTATGCTTACATATTCTCTTTATAGATGGCAGGAGCACCTCACAGACGATTTCATACGATACCGAAATGATGCTATTCATCATACTGGCTTGGTCCAGGCAGGATATTCGCCGAATAGGGGTCTCGAAAACATTCAGTTCGCCCCTGGTCCTCATTCCCGCGCTATCCCAGACTTCGATACGATGTCAGCCCCGAGAACCCAGTTAGAATCGCGTATGACAGAAGCGCGGCAATATCCAGCCCATGGAGGTTTAGATCAATTTGAGCTCGGCCATGAAGCTGCTACGCTAGGCAGTTTGTCACCTCCGCGTCCC